CTACTTTCATCCCTGGCTCAAAGAACTGTGCTGCTGTTGCTTTTGTCACTGCTGCTACAGCATTAAGCCCTTATTGCATGCAGATATGTATAGCATGTGCTCGAACGAGATCCCCAAATTTCTGACATGTTTCCGGAATCCAGCCTCCTTGGGGAACGAGATAAGGGCCCGCAGTAAGGATACGCGTCCTTTAGACAAGTACTAAATAAACTTCGTCGCTCACCTGATGCTTGGCAGATTTGCATTTCTCGCGATGTTTCGTCGACAAGGTCAGCTAGAAGCGGCAAGAGGAGCCTGCAGACGGCATTGGGCCAAGAGAGGCTTCCAGGGAGGATCGCCGCAAGCGTGCCTTTCTCTGCCACAAGGTCGTTGAAGACATCGGTATTGGACCGGCCCAGGCAGGTGCTCTTGAATGTGGTTTGAGATCGGCATCGCAAGCACAGTCGGCAGGCTTTTCCAGCTTTGCTTGGGGGTGGCATCTGGGTGGCAGATGGCTCTGAGCTCCTCATACTCGGAGCCTCGCAAGAAGAAGAGCATAGAAGTCTGTGTGCGTGTCCAAGACCTCTGCGGGACATTGCAGTTCTGATGCATAAGGCTCCGTCACCAAGGCAGTGCCTTGTCTGGAGAGCCTACAAGTGCGTCGCATCTCAGCATGGCGGGATTTCTAATGCACCATGCGACATCCAAGGTGTCTGATGAGATGCTCGGCTGCATTATCCCTCCTTGCCCGCCTCCGGGCTCTCGGCCGCGAACATGCCGGTACCTGTATGCTCCGGCACTCCGGCACACGTGCCGGCGAGACGTCCCAACCCCAACCCATGCCAAAGGTCCCCAAGGACTTGCCATCCCGGTGTTCTTGCGGTGATACATTGAGTCGATATCTATCTTTTTGCAGTAATGCAATCCGCAAGCCTAGCGTGCGGTCCTCCTGCTGTTACCGGCAGCAAAACCAGCCAGTCGTGTCATTACCCACCAGGCCAAGCCACCCCGCAACAACCCCTCTGCAGCCCCCCGAATGCGACTTGTGCATGTTCCGCATCCGAGGTGGTCTTTGAATGGGTTCCAGCGGGGCATGGTGGTCTCCATTGTGTTCATCGGAATCCTGCTGGGCAACACCAGCAGTGGTCCGTTTCGTGGCTGAAAGTCGCATAGTTGTGTCGACCACAAATGCTTGACAGCACACTTGCATCTGTGTCAGGCTTGGCGATGGACGCTTGTCAGAATTCCTGCTATTCCAAACGACCCTTCTCGTTCTCCCTGTCCAGTGTATGCATGCTTTCAATCAGGACTGGGCCGCAAGCTGCCGATCCTGCTGTCCTATCTGGGAATAGCCCTCTTCAGTGTTCTCTCGGCATCAGCCACAGGACAAGGGCCAAATAGAGTGTCGATGCGCCAGCAGAGCTTGTTGCAGGATTCCTCTCCATGTCTGGCGTGCGCATGCTGGTCGGCTTCGCTTTCGGCCTTGGGCAGCCAGCGTCGAAGCCTCACGTGATGTGTGATTCACGATCGCCTTTGCTGTTGATTGCCCAGGACCGTCGCTCTACTGAATGCTGCTTGGCTATGGGCAGGGGCCTGTGTTCTAAAGTTCGCGTCTCAATTAAGCGCCAAGTTACTGTTCTTGGATGTTTTTTGCAATCAACTGTGTTCTCAAAAACTAGTGGGTCCAGGGGGTGTAAGGCGTGCCAGGGCTGTGATGCAGAAGTTCAGGATATAAGAAGACTCGATATCCGCGAGGACCTCCCGCTCGCACAAACGGTTGAAATCCCTGCCTAAGGAAGTCTCGCCAAGAAGGTGGGCATTTCGACCACACATGAGTTTCACCCTGCGCCGCTGCTGTGGTTGCATCTCCACGTTTTTATGCAGCAGCAGCAGGTTCTGGCACAGCTTCTCTATTTCACTGTAACTCTTATAAGAGGACTCCAACTCTGATTTGGCTCAAGCGAGTGATTCCCCTGAGGTAGGATCCGCAGGGTTAGGAGGTTTTCGAATCCCGAAAGCTAAACCTCTCGTCTCTCCCTTCGGGTCTCGTCTGTGTGATGGCTGCTGGTGCTGCAGGTGATGCTTTGATGGATGGCGAGACCAGGCTTTGGGTGATGAAGGTGAAGAAGGTGATGATAGTCCTCTGTCTGGGCCTTTGCATGCGCAGCAAGGTCGTCATGAGCGACCAGCACTCCTTGCAAACCACCTTAAGCGGGAGAGTTTAGCGGCTGGGGCGCTATTGGTTTGTTAGTCCTACTTTATCTTTCTGTTGTTTGGGACCTTATCGATCAGGAAAGCCCTCAAGCCAACCTGAAGACCTCCCATGTAGAATTCTTGAGTCTTGAGCTTGCTGGACTGTGAATCCTTTGGTTCCTATTTTCCTTTGGTCCACTTCCTGTTTTGGTGCTGCGTTGCATAGTCCAGGCCAGGCCCAGCTTCTGATTGTGTCACTCCGACCTGAAACCATGGAACCTCGCCTGGCTCGTCCGGGTTATGTGAGAGCAGAAACCCTAAACCCATCTAAACCCTGTGTGCCAGCCTTGCGCGAGTGTGAGTGTGTGTGTGTGTGTGTGGGTATTGTGTGTGTGTGTGTCGAAACCCTAAACTGCCCTAAACCCCTAAACTCTAAACCCTTTGGCAGGTGGCGCTACCTTTTGATGGCCCAGGCCATGGCTTTGTGGCTTGGTTGGGTCGTCATGGAGTTATTGACTTGATTGGGTTTGGGGGGTTCTTAGTTAGCAATGACCAGTTCCATTTTCTAACCATGCACACCCCCTAGCACCCAAACCATAACAACCTATACCTCAACCCCAACCCCACCGAATGACCCATAGGAAAGACACACCCGAAGACCCCAAACCATAATGACCTATGCCTCAATCCCTGACTCACCAAATACCCATACCAAGGCCCACATCATGGAACCACCAGAAGACCCATAGGCTCTTATGATATGCTTATGGTATAGCGCAACGCTCGGGGGGTCTTAAACTATCTGGGACTTAATGCTGAACTATACACTGATGGTTTTTTCGCGAAAACCCATTAGTATAAAAAACTCCGCGGAGTTGTTTCACTGTCACAATATAAGTACCATATCTTTAAGTAACTAATTTAATATCTCATGTAATTGATAAAACTCAAACAACAATTTGAATCGTTTCTTATACTGCCTTAAATGTTGACAATCCTCTAGTTCATCTATTATAGCGCTTCACCGAGCGTGATACAGTCTTATCTTTCTTCTTTCAATTAACCAAGCACTCGTGGTTTCTTTCTTTTCATTCTTGAAACATAAGCAGTCCATATATTAATTATACATATATATCTTCATAATTTTAAACTTTAATCGGTGTGTGGGGTTTAGGGTGGTTTTTTTCTATGTGGTGGTGTATGGTTCTTCTGGTGGTTCCATCATGTGGGTCTTGGGGTTGGGGTTTTCGGTGGGTTTAGGGTTATGGTTTGGGTATGTTTGGGTGCTAGGGGGTGGGGCATGGTTAGAAAATGGAAATGGTATATGCTAGCTGTTTTAGGGTTTAGGGATTTGGGTTTAGAGATTTTGGCTGCAGTCCCCGCTCAAAAAAAGAGATTTAGAGTTTAGGGTTTAGGGATTCACGTTGGGAGGTTCGGTAGCTTTAGGAGTTGACTAGTGCGTGAAGACCTCACCTTCGTTTTCCTGAGGTTCTGTGCCGGTGAGCTTTATGCTGCATGGCTCATATGGCCACCTGCCTGAAGTTCGGGTCTTTGGAGTGCCGGTTGGTTTAGCAAAGAATCGGATCCTTAGCACACGGACCCCCGAAGAAGGTACCCCTAAACCCGAAATCCACATGGATCCTCGCCTGGCTTGTCCGAGTTGTGAGAGTGTAAACCCTACTGTAACCCTAAACTTGTCCTCAGCCATGCGAGAGAGAAAAAACCCTAAACAGCTACCCTAAACCCTAAACCCTAAACCCCAGGTTAGACGATCCAATGATGAAATCCCTGGATTGGCGCTCCTTGGCTCGCAAGCCTCCTTCTTCGATGTCGGAATTGGGCTCTGGCAGAACCCGGTGGATTCATGACACACCCTTTTCATGGCTTCTGAATGTCATAACGTTAACATCAAACAGGCTCTAATTACAAGGATCACCATCACATGAACAAATGATTAAAACCGAAGTCGGGCGCCAGAGTCTGCGCCAGCTCTGGGACAGAGACACGGGCTTCGAGTCAACTGAAACCGTTCTGTTTGCGGGAGACTTCCCACTTCACCACAGGATGCCAGAGACAGAAGCACCACGACTTCCTACGCCCGCAAGGGCAAGTCCCAAAGTGCAAGCAGCATGGGTCGAAACATGGCAAAGCGGCTGCCATTAAGACTTGACCGCACTGCAAGGTTGGCTATGCATGGTGGGAGCGGTTCCCTCGATTGTTGGTTTTGTTTTGGCCTACTTCTTCCTGGACGAACCGTGGCTGCAATAACTCCTTCAGCCTTCAGCTTGCTGCGATCCTGTGTCATGTGCTCCGTTCAGGAGTCACCAGCGTATCTTGACGAAAATGGATACCGCCAGGAGGCGTTGGCAGCCCTCCAGTCACTCAAGCATCCGGGCTGCAGCTTTGTTTGGCACCTCCCCTATGAAAGTCGGGCGTCCTTACCTTCAACTCACACCGTGAAGGAGCATTCTCTTTCACTTGCTTTCCGCAGCACGGACACTTGTCCAAGTGCTTGCCAGGCAAGCTAAGGCAAGCTTGCATGGTAAACAGTTCTGATCAGAGGGCTCTCGAAGGTGATGGGGATGATGGTGATGATGATACTTGTATCGATGATACTGACCATTCGTTCAGTCGCCATGCGCCATGCAGTGTCTGTCGCGCAGAGGGATCGGAACGGTGCTCACGACGTCTCGTGCGAGTATGAGACGTCACTGGCCGCACAGAGCCTTGGCCGCAGACACTGCCACACCAATAAAAGGACGGATAGTGAGCCGTTGACACTTCGCCCTTTCGCATGCCAAAGGACACCAAAGTCCGTGCGAGACCATGTGGCCACAATATTCTCACGATCCTTGCTGCTCAGCATGATTTGGGATGTCCCTGAGGGTGGCCCAAACCCGGGCCTCACATAGCAGCGTCTTCAAAACGAACGCAATAAAGCTCCGACAGGACGTTCTCCAGATCCAAGGATCTTGACTACCTTCACTATGATGTTCAGTTGCCTGATGCTCAACTTGGTTTTCTACGGCATCTTGGCTAGCATGCAAAGTTGCACTTCCTTTGGATGGTATGCCTCCGAAAGTGAAAGATGCTGGATGCAGAGCTGGAGCCAAGGAAGCCTATATGCGTTTCCACAAGCTCTGGCCTAATATTGTATGTGGGCCCATGTGCATATGAACATTGCCGGTGGTCAACTAGTCGAACCCCCTTAGCTAAGGTCTTCACAGAGACGAACAAGACGAGCTACAGCCCAGCGGTGGTGCTCATGGCCATGGCCTCATGGGGGTTGTCACAGCCTGCGTTGCCATGTCACAAACCATTTACAGTCGTATAGAACCCTCATAGAAACTACTACATAGCCCCTTGAGAACTCCCCGTCTGCCCCTAAACCCTAGACCCCAAACATCCCCAAACCCTAAACCCAAGCCCCCTAAAGCGCTCATAGACTTCGACTGAGACCACACTCAGATTGGGGCCATGGTGGAGTGGCCGGGGTTCTTCGGTGCTCCGATACTGGAGCGGTTTGTCACGGGCAAGGCCGGCGAAAAATTCGGATTTTTAGGCTTTAGGGTGTTGTTGTTTTTTTGTTGGGGGGGGGGTTAGGGAGGGTATTTCAGTTCTCCAGATTGCAAGACGCGGAAGGTATACCACGTGTAGTGGATTTACGGGCTCATGCGCATATTGGTTCAAGGATGGCTACGTTGGACCCAGCAATTGTACTACGCAGCAAAGGGCCGCAGAGTTTGGGTGCTTCCCCGCCCCATTAAC